TGTCTTACTGTACCATAAGAAATAAACAGCTTAATTTTTTTATTAACATTTGGAACTTATGGCTGTGATTTTAAATTTTAGCTCTTTTGATTTAAACATAAATATTAACAATATAACATAAACATAAATATCTTATAACCTTATAAATTTGAACATTTAAAAATCTTTTAATGTCTTTTTGTAAGAATATCAAAAATAAAGTATCCTTGATATGTTTAAAATTATTACCATATGGGTGACTATTAAATTTATGTTGTCAATTTCCAGTGTTACTAGTTTTAACTTTTTGACAGATTTAACCATGAACCAGTTTTAATATTATCTTTATTAAAAAAAACATGTGAATTCCTGATAACCCAAATTTAATTACTAAAGCTCGGAGATAAATTCTGAGCTATGTCCACAAATGACTGGCTACTGTTCGAATTAGACAGTAAAACTATTTGAACCATTTTTGTTTTCTGTTTTGGCTTTTGGCTTATAATAAAATTTACGTTTATACCAGAAAACATAGGTAGAACCTTTTAACAAGTATACAGAATTAATTCGGGCAGGGATATAAATGAAACTTTTAAACAGAATTAGCCTGGTGTGGTTAAAATTTTTAACCTGCATTACTATTATAAATATATATGAGAGCCCATAGTAAACAGTTTAAATTCTTCTCTGACACTTTTAGGACTTTCTGTTGACAAATCTGTGCCTTTTTAGCTGAGGCAAGGTACCCAGGGTCCTTAGTTTCTCCAGTCGGGTCCAGCAGGAGGTCATCTACATATTGTAGAAGGATCAGGGTAGGGTGCTGCATCCGGAATTTGAATTACAATGAAAGGGCCCACCCAAGGTGGAAGGTTGTGGGCCAGGTCTTCCCAGGTTATGATGTAGGGAACCTGGTCGGGGTGTCTGTGGGGTCCAGAATTGAACATGTTTTCTTTTACGTGTAAAATAATCTTAATACCAACATTAAATGTTGGCCATTCAGAACTGCAGAAAGTTTGTCATTTTTTCTTCTTGATGTCCTGGGACTGGTTTTTGTCTGGGTCCCAAACGTCTCCCCAGTGGTCTAGAGTCAAATTTAAGGGGGTTGTTAGTTGTCCCATAGTGGTCAGATGGTGAAAAACAAAAAAGACAAAAAGACAAACATTAAGACAGACAGTCAGGCCAAATAACAGAGACCGAGCGGCTACAGATGGGCTCCAGGCCAAAACCAAAGATTCAGATGGGGGCAGAGACTTTCATCGACTGCTCCCAGGGACGGGGGTTGCCTGTTTGACCTCTCCATTCAGATCAAAGGTGGAGCGTCCTCCAGGGTTGGACTCAGAGGGGAACGACTTGTCAGTCTACCTTGTAATTCTCTTCAAAGCCTGCATAGCCTATACAGGGCTTCCATCGACAGACAAACAGAACATGAACATAAATGTGCCGGCCGGACTTACCTCCTCTCGGTTGTGGTAATGAGTCTGGGGTCTCCTCAAATTCCCAGCTTCAGGCTGGCTCGCCAAATGAAAGACCCCCAGACCCATAAGGGCCTCAGGATCCTGAGGAGCCCCCGAGACTCAGAAACCAGACCAATAGCTGCAAAAGCAAGAGAGTTTATTGAACGAATGCTCATTCGGGTGGCAGCAATATAGGGGAAGCTGCACACACAGCAAAGGTTATAGGCTCTTTTTATAGGGAAAACCCGCAAATCATCATATATGCTTGGGGTACAAAGCGTTTGATTGCAAAGTGATTGATTACAAAGTATGATTTCATATTAACGAGGTCACCTGGGTATGACCTGGTTTTCTACAACGGAAAAAACCACAGAATGTAGTCTGGAAAGTCCTTGATTGTTAGCTGGCCGGCCAGGTGTGTCCCAAAGAGGGTTGCCTTGGCGACTGCCCCCATCTAAACCATAGAATGTGCCCAGGGTTGGGGCCAACTTCCTTGGAATGGGCCAAGGCCTGTGGAAAACTTTTTCTTTCTGTGAACTAAAATCTTTTAAAAATTTTTCTCTCAGCAAACTAAAATCTTTCAGGGGTACAGGCTACTAAATTTTTATCTATGGTATTCTTGTACCTTATATATGGGGCTTTACTTTTGACTTAGCAGCTCAATCAGGGAAAAGTATGTATGAAATACTGGCAATTTGTTATGTGTTTAAGTATTTATTGTCAATCTCTTTCAGTTACATTCTGTTGTAGTGAAGTTTATTCCTTCTAGTATAATTATTGTTTCCTTTGTGAGAAATGTGTTTTGGACTTTCAAAAAAATTTCTCTTTCTCATTATATAATGTTTTAATTTTTGAAGACAGTTTTTACTTAATCTTTTTAGTCTGAATATGTATACCCATTTTCATGTATCTAAAAATGAGGCCTCTTTACCTTTTTTCTTTCTTTTGTTTTGGTACAGCTTACTTCTAACCTAATTGTATTTTAAGTTTCTGTATGATACACTGGAGATTGGAGTCCTACATTAAGGGGGGAAAATACCAAGACAGAGCCAGATAAAAATACAAGGGAATTTAATAAGGAAAAGCCTTACTTACAGAGCAACCTAGCCAGCCAGCACAGCAACAGTCTGTACAGCAAGCCAAAAGCAAAACTGAAACCAGCCACCTGCCACTTGAAAGTACCTCACTCTACATCCCCTGACCATGCTACAGCATCCCCTACACTACATAGCTGTGTTCTGTATCTAAGTTAAAGGGAAGTAAAGACAGACACCATCTGAATGTATGAATTCATTGCATTAGTTCTTACAAGAACTCTTTTAAAAATTGTACGTTTTAACATAGTACTATTTAATTTCACAGAAGGAGATAGGGACATTCTATAAACAACAATATGTGTGCCATCTTGCTTTCAATGAACTTCTGGTGGTGGCCACACCATATGTGTATGCCTTTAGGTGTTCAATTGTGACCCCTTATAAGGTAGAGAGTCTCACTTACTCTCTCTATTTGAGGTTAGAGCATCTGAAAGGCAGAGTCAGCATCTTCTAGAATAGAAAGAGTTCAGCTTTTATTTATGTAAGTGCTTCCCTAGTAAACACCTAATTATCATTTATCTTGGTTCTGGTAGACTCATTGAAACCCCACATTCCATTGAATCCCCAGTGTGTTCATTTTCACAATCAGGTTGTGTGGCTAGCCTTTCCTGGCATTACACTACACAGAGCCGTCCTTGCAAGTCTCCTTCCACTCATAGTGTCAGATGAGGCAGTCATTTCTGAGATCCTGCTCTCTACTTAGGTAGTTTCATGCTGATGTTTGGTAATTACCTGTGTATACTTAGGGTAAGAGTGGTCAAGGTTCAATTTGTGAAATGTTTCAAATAAGAGAAGTGTTAAATAGATAATAAATAGATGCACCTCATCATCAGCTTGAATAATTTTCTTGCAAATTGTAACTTTACAAATGTATTCATGTGATTATATTGGGGCCTACAAATTCTATTTCTTTTTTATCTCTTGGGAGCTCTTTTGGTATTCATTAAAACATGGAAGGATGGTTTTAAAATAAAAAATAGAGAAATCTTATTATGTATGGCTCTCATAAAATAAAATATTCTGTGTGTGTGCATGTGCGTGTGTGTGTATCCACTTCTATGTTTACACTCTGATTTTTCAAGCCAATTGATAGATGCCTGTGATGCTAGCAATGAGGTAGCAGAGCAGTTAATTGTGATCAGGAGTCAAAGGCCATCCTGAATCACATGACACATCTCTCAGTAAAATTGAACAATAACAAATCAAATGAATAATGATCTTATGACTATTGTATTTAACTTTATGATATTATAGTTATATATTTTGAATCATGATCTCAGATACAACTGGGTGAACCAGAAGTATGTTAATACCAAAGTATGTCATTCACATATTTCTGCCTCTTATTTTTACAGTTGGCAAACAGATCTCAACACCCAACACAGCTGTGACAGTGCTGATGTTTGAACCCAGGACTTCTTGCATTCTAGTCAATTAGAAAAATAGCTGACCGGAACCATGGACAGCCAGGGCAGGAAGGTGGTGGTTTGTGACAATGGCACTGGGTTTGTGAAGTGTGGATATGCAGGCTCTAACTTTCCGGAACACATCTTCCCAGCTTTGGTTGGAAGACCTATTATCAGATCAACCACCAAGGTGGGAAACATTGAAATTAAAGATCTTATGGTTGGTGATGAGGCAAGTGAATTGCGCTCAATGTTGGAAGTTAATTACCCCATGGAGAACGGAATAGTGCAAAATTGGGATGACATGAAACACCTGTGGGATTACACATTTGGACCAGAGAAACTCAACATAGACACCAGAAACTGCAAAATTTTACTCACAGAACCGGCTATGAACCCAACCAAAAACAGGGAGAAGATTGTAGAGGTAATGTTTGAAACTTATCAATTTTCTGGTGTGTATGTAGCCATCCAGGCAGTTCTGAGTTTGTATGCTCAAGGTTTATTGACCGGTGTAGTAGTAGACTCTGGAGATGGTGTGACTCACATTTGCCCAGTGTATGAAGGTTTTCTTCTCCCTCACCTTACAAGAAGGCTTAATATTGCTGGGAGGGATATTACCAGGTATCTTATCAAGCTGCTCCAGTTGCGGGGATATGCCTTCAACCATTCTGCTGATTTTGAGACAGTTCGTGTGATTAAAGAAAACCTTAGTTACATGCCTTACAATATTGAGCAAGAACAGAAGT